AAGATTGGCTGACCGATAAGCAAAGAATTACGATCAATAATTTTCTGGTCGCTCCTCTCCTAACTTTAGTCATGATTTTTTTAAATTGTCAATACCATCTGCGATAAAGTATAACTCTGCAATTGCAGCAAAAGAAATTTATGTAAATCCTACATGAGAATGCATTGGACCCGGGGTCTGCAAGTGATATAGCTCCACTAAACTCGACTAGCTCCGGCAAAGTTGGCATCAAGCGGTCAGATAAGCTGAAACGTTGGTTTTCATGAATCACTGCTGATTGGAAAGATGCATCCAAACCACTCTCAATCGAAAATGGCAAACTTTGAGTCAATCCCAAGTTCAAAACACCTTGGGCCACCGCCTTCGATATATGGCTAGCTCCATTATTGTCTACATTTGCATCAATCATAGCAGGAAGAGAACTCAGCTCGCTAGTAAATGTATCAATATTTGTGTTATAGTTACTGTTGTTTCTGCAGGCGGAGCTAATAGGCTTAACATTGTGTGTATTCAGAAGAGGGCAATAATTAGGCTTAGAAGCTGACGAGAAAGTTTGCGAAGTATTTGTGAGGTTACAGTCAGCCTGCTGAGACGGGTAAGACGAAGATGTGTCAGAAACCATTTTATTTGAAGGCATAAGATGATAAGCGATCTGTTGATGCGGCTCTTGCTGCATTGTTGGCATCATTATGTCAAAATGAGATGTCATAGTGCTAGGAGTGCAGGCTCTTGGTCTCGTGAAATTATCATTCTTTGACACTTCAGAAGCCCTGGCTACTAACTGCTCACTGGACGAATCACAGGCTGAGCCGGTTGATCTTGCCAATAGAAGCCCTAACTCAAGGCTTGGAACATCGACGACAGCGGCATCCGATTTAGTAGCATGATCCGAGTCGCCAACTGCTTGCTGATTGAGCGTAGTGGCGGCACAAGTGACACGAGCGCCTAAGGAACAGGTGGGCGAAAGATGGAAATCATTCTGACTAGACATACAGCCTTTTCCATGAAAAGCGGCAGCGAAAAGTGCTGGCAGCCGCGCTAATCGATGACAAATGGCTCGTCCTGATTCCAGGCAAGTACTCTGGAGAGTAAAAAGCAAGTAATTGAAAACGCAATATATAATGACTAATAGTTATTAGGATGAAAAAAAATAATACTAAACTAAAAGGAGGCGATAAGGGGAGTGGGATAAAAAGGCATAATGAAGGTGGTATAATATCCCAATTGCTTTATAAAAATATGTTTTGAAAAGGATAGTAGGTTATCAGGTTTGGATGCGACATCTTTTAAGGGAGAAACAAGCTAGATAGTGATGTGCATAGGAAGCTCAAAATTGCGAGTTACCTTTTTATTTTCTCTTCTAATCAAACTAATAAGGCTCTAAAGAAGGAATAATGAAATAAGTTAATTCTGAACAGTTGTCAGTTAGGATTAATTGGCAATTATTTGGCATTAAGATGAGAAAAATAACTTATTAAAGCATGCCAAATCTACGCTAGTTGAAAGCATGCTAGGTAAAGCATGACAAGTATAATAGGATCTTGATGTCAATTCTCTCAAGGCTATCGGAAAGAGGAGTGAACCTATCAGGATGCTGTTAGAATGCTGGCTTTGATTCAATATTTGTTAAGTCTTATTAACGTCTCTTCGTTCTAATGATGTTTCACTTGAAATACTCGACTTTAGCATAGTGAGTACACCGAAGCCTTAAATTTTAAGATTAATTATCATAACTCCAAGACGATACACACTTGATTTAAGATAAAGCCAATTTAAGAAGTTCTTCTACATAAATGTTCATAGAATGTGAAAGTCATGGTAGCAAAAATATTTTGTACATTAACTTGTAGGAAATCTTCAATATGCCATTCTCGAACATTCCAACATTATCTGTTCAGCTTACTTCCATTTTGAGTGAGTTTTTAGCGAAGAGATTTGAATATCGATCCCACCAAAAGATGGGAATCGTAGATTTCCTCGGAAACAGCGTCAACAAGAATGTTCTAGTAAATCAAATCGATAATTGGTCAAGAGGAATCCACCGCAGTCTTCTGCTGGGATCGAACTTCGAATATTTTCCACAAACGCTTTCACCCGAAATGTAAGTAAGTTGAACACTAATGAGCCAAGAGATTCCTCAAAACCCCACTTTTATTTCTCATATACTACCAACATTATCTGTCAACTACTATGTAATTGCGGGTATATCTACACTATATACGGTGGTAGAAAGGCTTTATACGCGTGCTTAAAAATATATATCTCAAGTGGTTGTTTCATTTAAAAAATGCAATGAACGATAACAGTGCGATAAAAAGCATATCAAGTAGACAGACCACCTGGCTCAAATTAAGCAGAAAAACGTGGAGGCACATACACCTTCATCGTCTCACCACACATAATGCATCTTGTCTTCAAATTTTTTAAACGAATTCCTAAGATATGAATATTAAGATTTGTGTAACCTCTATTTTGGTCAAGATTTTCTTCAAAAGTATAGTAGTGGTATAACCTCGTTTATGCAATTTGGTCGCCTTGCCAAGGCAACCTAATTGGATTCATGTTGTCCAAGGTCCTCTGTTATAGTAGTTAATATAATTCCCAACGTTGGAACGTAGAAGCGGTACATCCCTAGACATTTCGTCGGCATTGTCAGTAAGCCTTGCCATTCTCAGTACCAAGCTACAATTTGTCAAAGACTATTTGCAAAAACGAGGCCAGACCTTTTTCTAATTCTAGAGGCTTACGATGTAAAAAAACTAAAAAAATCAGAAAAAATACATATACATTTTGCCAAGATTGAATGAAAGCTCTTAACATTTCAGCAAAACCAGATATGGCATATCCTGCAAAAAAAACGGTGAGACAATATTTAGGGAACCATTTTAGTTTACATGACTAGCAAGACAATTATGCTAAAGAGAAAATATGCCAATAGTTGGAGAGATCGATGAGAAAATGAGGCTGCTTGGTTGGTATCCAGGAGTTAATAAAGACCAGCCTTATTGGGACTAATTAACTTACCTTTCCCAGCCTATCTTGTCTCGATAAATGTCGCAATGTAGCTCCCATTGGAAATTCCGAAGAAAGATGGTCGCTATTGCAACGGCGTTGACAGAAACGAACAATGTATGCTAAGCCCCTAGTAACAAGAGGGCCTAGAGCCATGGCACAAGCAATTGCCCGTCTAG